CCACAGGTGCACACACACAGGTGGACATACTGTATCAATGGAGCCTATGGTACTATACACTAATGTTCAAAACTTTGAGGTCAGTAAGATTAATCCTTTTATTCAGCACGGATGCATTAAATTGATCAAATGTGACAAGACAAAATGTTGTTCTTTTGAACTCTCTGTTCATTAAAGGGTTAGTTCACCCAAAAATGAAAATTAAGTCATTAATTACTCACCCCCATGCTGTACCAACCCCGTAAGACCTTCGTTCATCTTCGGAACACAAATAAAGATATTTTTGATTGAATCTGAGAGCTAGATCAGTCCTCCATAGACAGCCTGAGGGACTGCCTCTTGACGGCCCAGAAAGTCATTAAAAGAAAAGGTTTAAATATTCCATGTGCCTACAGTGGCTCAACTATAACTTTATCAAGCGACGAGACTACTTTTTGTGTGAAAAAAAAACGTAAATAACGACTTTATTCGACTTTCCATTACTTCCTTAAGGGCGCATGCGCGAGAACTGAGACGAGACCGTTCTTCTTCGACTACTTTTTGTTACCGGCTGCTCACCGCTTAGGAGTTTTACCGCCCCCTACCGTATAAGATGACGTACTGATATAGCCGGAGGCGCAAAACGTTCTGTTTACAAGCAGTACGTCATCTTATACGGTAGGGGGCGGTAAAACTCCTAAGCGGTGAGCAGCCGGTAACAAAAAGTAGTCGAAGAAGAACGGTCTCGTCTCAGTTCTCGCGCATGCGCCCATAAGGAAGTAATGGAAAGTCGAATAAAGTCGTTATTTACGTTTTTTTTTCGCACAAAAAGTAGTCTCGTCGCTTGATAAAGTTATAGTTGAGCCACTGTAGGCACATGGAATATTTAAACCTTTTCTTTTAATGACTTTCTGGGCCGTCAAGAGGCAGTCCCTCAGGCTGTCTATGGAAAAGTGATCCAGCCCTCAGATTCAATCAAAAATATCTTTATTTGTGTTCTGAAGATGAACGAAGGTCTTACGGGGTTGGTACAGCATGGGGGTGAGTAATTAATGACTTAATTTTCATTTTTGGGTGAACTAACCCTTTAAAGACTTGTAAAAAACAATATGACGATTTCAACAAAATTATGTTTTTACCGTATTTATTATCAAAAAATGCAACCTTGGTGAGCAAACTTCTTTCAAAAAACATTTTAAAATCCCAAGATTTTGAATGCTAGTGTTCAGAGCGAAGCAAAAGGCAATAAGCAATAAGGGTGGAGGGTTGTGATCCATAAAAAAGGTAATTCATCGCCATGGATTTGTTTTAGTATTTATACAGTATATCTCCAATTAACAAGAAGACTATTCATGTTTAAGGTTTTCACCCAAACATATATGTACAGCACTTTAGCCAGAAACCAATTTGGTGTTTGGAGAATGAAGGAGTATAATAGTCTTGATAGTCTTTTGAAAGTCTTTATCTATTACTTCCATTTAGCTTTATATCAACATGTGGCCAAATGTATGTGTTCGAGTCTGATACGTTCAGAAACCCTCCCCTACAGCGAGAAGCCACTCAAATGCCTAAAAACTACTGAGAATCTCCTCACCCTTACAGAGAATCCAGCAACCAGCATTCACACACACACACACACACACACACATATCGAGACCCATACTTAACCTCCTAAAACAGACTCATAACAGCTCATTATGCTCTAACTTTTAGCTGTGATCCTAAGAAGACAAAACAAACTCTCTAGGAGACAAACCTTTCAACACATAAAGAAACAAACCCAATCGTTCACATACCTGACGACAGATACAACTAAACAGACAGTAAAAGAGGAGGAGTGCTGTATGAAAGGATTATTTACATGTCCTAAGGATAGAAAGATGATGGGTGGATGAAAGACAGACAGAAAGATAGAACTGACAGATAGATAGAAAGATAGAATTGATGGATGGATGGATGGATGGATAGAAGCTATTAAACTAAACCAGAAAAATGTGAGAGAAAATTAAATCGATGTAGAAATGACAACAGCCCTTGAGATTTACAATTTAAAGACTTGGCCCTAGGTTGCTGTAAATTGATCTATTTTGCAGTTAGTAAGGGGTGAAAACTGGAAACAAATGTTAGCGTCTTTGACAGCATGCAGGATTCAGAGAGGCTGTTTTATAATGTCTATAATAAATATTGTCACATTTTACACTGTTACTGATTTAAGTCTTTCAAATCTTGCATAAATAGCTACACATAAACACGCATGCAAGCACGCACACACACCCTGGGTATAATCCACCATCACTGCTTACTGTCCTGCCAAGCATAATGCATGCTGGGAAACACACACTGACCAGATCTCCTCCCTGTGCAACAGCACTTGGGAAATAATCACAGTTTAAGCATTCTCACCACAAACACACTATATTATGTGTGTGTGAGAGAGTGTGTTTGTACACACACAGATTCCTGGATGGTGAGCTGGCAGAGACATGCTTTAAACCCCAAAATTGGCACTTAGGAACTCCAGAACAACAGAGACACTGACTTTTTTCAGTACCTAAGTCACCAACTGTACAAAAAAAAAAAAAAAAAAAAAACAGTAGAAGAGAGAGATTTTATAAATATTTTTTCAGCTTTTAACATTCACATTCAACTAAACATTCTAGAGATTATTAAATCTTTGAAAAGCGTTATATATTATGTCTGTTCTCTACTCTACTTTTTTTGTTCTGCTTGCCAATAAAATTAATCAAATGCGACATTTGGCAAGAATCATGATTAGGATGCCAGAACTGCACAAACCCATCTGTTGACCTTTATTATTATTAATATACCTCTCAATGTCAAGAAATGCACTGGTCATGTTTTACATTTAAAATTCAAAATGTTTTACATTTTTTTAACTACTGTATCACAATAACAAGAAATGCATTTTTATTTCTTTAAATGAGAATTTGAGAGGAAAATGCCCTTGAATGAAAATAATGTCACTAAGCAACAAAAGAAAAAAAAATGTTTTTGAATTGTTGAATTGTTTTTTAAAAAAGGCTTTGATTTCTTAATGCACAATATAATGTCTATTTTATTATTTTGTGAAAATTGCCCCCTTCAAAACTGCAAAACACACACATTTAACGCATGTACTGTAATTGTGTGAAGGACGATGTTATGATTGAGAAGTTGTTTATCTCTTACAGAAAGAGCAAATCAAAACAAATCTAACACCCACACACACCAATCTACACAAAAAGTATCTAAGCAAAAACAATGATTAAGATGCCTACACACACACAGAGAAAGAGAGAGAGAGAGAGAGAAAGAAATGATTATAAAGCAAGAGAAAGTAAGGAATATATATATATATATATATATATATATATGTGTGTGTGTGTGTGTGTGTGTGTGTGTGTGTGTGTGTGTGTGTGTGTGTGTGTGTGTGTGTGTGTGTGTGTGTGTGTGTGTGTTTGTGTGTGTGTGTGTAGGAAGGATGTAAAATGTTTCTCGCAGCCTTAAGGAGGAGCTGTGTTCTATGAGTGTTTCACTGTGTGAGTGAGCCCTTCCAAAGACTCCATTTGTCCATTATTTATTTCTAAAGAAACACAACAATGATTAAAAAGCTCCATTACCTTGTATCTTACGTTATCGCCCCGTAGAAGCAGTTTTCGCCATATTTTTTTTTTTTTACCGTATAGACAAAAATTACTGTATGGATGAATCCGGTGAAACTAACGAAAGTAAGCAAGCGCCATAACTGAGCTGTTGCTGGGTAGCGTTGTGCCATTGGCCCGCGATTTACGACTGTCACTAACGTTACAACATTACAACTTTTATAATGTCGAGTGGAAAAACATGTTCCGTTATAAATTGTTTCAATGGCGGCAGTAAAATTTCAATTTGGAAGAGAAAACATTGTGAGCTACATAAAATACCCCGAGTCGACTGCCCCTGTCTGGTGGTACAAGACGCGGACATTTGCGTATAATAACAATTATCTAATGACATAAGTAAAAAATATAATAAATATGTAATATAGTATTCAGCAAAATCTCCTCTCTAGCTATTTTTTATATTTAATTAACATGCTATGGTCATAAAATGGCTTTCCTGAGCTTAATAACGTTATGTGACATAATTGTTCTCCTGCTGTTATTTTGACCTCTTTCCATGGTTTAAAAACACTAATTGGTCAATATTATGTATACTTTCTAGCTGTACCTTACCCTTGCCTTTTGCAATGTGAAAATTAGATAAATAATGGACACAAATGAAAAACATGAATTCGTTAATTTGATGTCATTCATTTATTTATTGTTGCCAAATGGACAGATCTTTTTTATAATTTCCTCGTTAGCTAACGTTAGCTTAGCAAGCTTGCCAAGCTATTTTTATAAATAATATTTATATTAAGTTTTTTGGGCTTGATCTCCATCTCTCCAAACACAATCACTGGTAAACAGCATGAATAATATCCACACTCACAGTATTCAGCAGGCTTGAGGGTAAGTGTACACACACACACACACACACACACACACACACACGCACACACACACACACACACACACCATCTGTCTAATGCCATGGAGGTTGTAACTGTGTTACTCTGAGATATCAAGCACAGGTTTGTTGGGCAAGCAAGCCACCCTCTTAGTAAAAAAGGTTCTATATAGAACCCCACGGTTCTTGACTCAATTTGTAAGAAGCCTTTATGCCAGTTCTAAAGAAGAAATCTCTTAAATGATTGCATAAAACTTGATTAAGTATGTTTACAAGCTATGTAATAATAGCTCTGTCAAAATAAAAGAAATTGCATTAAAACTACTTTTATCAATCAACTAATTCCATAACATGATGGGAACCCCCAAAGGGTTCTGTATTATGAAGTACCTGACAGAACCCTTTAAGGTTAAAACTGGCATAAGTGGCATCATTTTTTTCATAATTTTTCAACCTCATGATGGGAAGTGTAATGTAAAGAGACCCTTTTGTGTGATGTGACATGAGTGAGTTTCCTGACAGTAACTCACCGTCAAAGCTCTTGAAGTGGCCGCTGAGAGAAACCTGTAAGGAGCGTCCAGACTCCTTCACCTGTGTCTCAAACTCTATTCTGCTCAGGTTTAGGAGGTTCTCCTCCATTCCGGACGTGCAGCAGGTGTAACCCTGAGGACAGACCCGCAGGTGCTCACCTGAGAGGGACACAAGTATAACATCATCAGAAGTGCATTTAACTTTCTCCATCCATCCATCCATTCATTCATTCATTCATCATATAACCCATAATATCTCAGTAGCATTCTCTTATGGTCACCAAGGCCTCAAAAATACAGTAGAAACAGTAATATTGGAGAAAATATAATTACAATTTAAAATAACTGTGTTCTGTTTAAATCCATTTTAAAATGCAATGTATTCCCATGATGATCATTTTAATATGCTGATTTGCGGGTCAAGAAACATTACACATATATTATTGCTGTCAATCAATTAAAATAATAACTAATAATAACAAAAAATAATAACAAAGTTTCTAATATTTTTTTTTTTTATGTTGTGATACCGGTTATTTCACATTTAATATCCAAATGAATGTAGAAATAACATACAATTATTTTGTGTGTTAGTATATTTAAAATATTTGATCTAACAGGAAATATCCAGAAATTGAATGAACCTGACGTACATTAAACTTTATCTAACCTCATTTAAGACTGCTTACAAGGATACGCACTTTGGTGTTTTTTGTCCATTCAAATGCAAAAGAGAACTCAATATGATCTGAATGCGTCTGTGTGACAACTGAACAACACAGCACGGTTATATAATGGAGTACAAATGATTTTTTGAAGCGGCTGAACAGTAATTGAAAGTTTCCACTCAATCGACTGGTGAATTCACCCCTGTGTTATTGTTTTATAGAAGTGATGACCTGCTCAGTCGATATAAAAAATCTTTCTCTCTCTGTCCTTTCCAGTTTTCAGTGTTCAATGTTCTCTATTAACAGTTTGCAGCACAGTTGCATACAAAAAAGTGCAAAATAAATGTAATAATAAAATTATTATTCATGTATTATTATTTTAATCAGCTGTACAATTATTATTATGCATATTATTTTATTAACAATAATAAAACAAATAATAACAATGCACTTTATTGTTATATTGGTATTTTCTGTTATTAAATGATAAACAATAAATTCTTGGAAAACCAATTATTATTATTCCCTCTGATTAAGCTCTCGTGGATCAGTCAAAGGCTTGTGCCTGCAGTCCTTTCATTAGTATTCTGAACATTTCTATCAATTAGAAAGCCAGACCATTCTTATTTATTGCCATCTTGGGTCATAAAGATGAGTGTATTTCTGTGTTAGTGTGTCTAACTTGTGTGGTATGTTAGTGTCAGATAAATCAAGTGTCTACCTGTGACTTGTGTCACTGAGCATGTGTGTGTTTGTCAGCGGTGAGAGTACACACTGGCAGAGACAGGATTCTTTTTCTAAAGAGCTGGGCTGTCAGCCATTTCTATCTTGAGCCTATTCTCAATCCAAGGACAGAGGAAGAGAGAGGTTTATTTCCCACTCTCACATATAAAAGCACAGTGCAAACAGAACTTAATGGGCTCTTATCTGAGCTTAATTTTACTGCCCAAGGAAATTTACAGGCCCTAAATAATAAAATAAAAATAAAAATACGATACGAAAGAAGGAATTCTGTCACAGAAAATGGCAGAAAATAGCTAATTAAATTCCAGTTTCAATGGATAATTTATATTAATGCACTATAAACTCAAACTGAGAGAGTTATTATAATTTTTTTTTTTTTAACAGACTAGTTACACAGAGGTGTCAAGCAATTTGTTGTGATCTTTTGGTGGCTGTTCAGTGTTTTTGGTCGAAAACAACCCCTGTTCGATTCTGACTCATGGTGTGCTGGCTAAATTACCCCTTAGAGATCAATAAATCACATCTCTCTGTAAAGTGAGCAGAGCTGGAGTTCCGTTCCGCCTCGATAAATTAGAGTTAATATAAAATAGATTACTCTGTAGGTAAAACTGGAAACATATAAACATCTTGTAAACATCTTCTGGTTTCTGCCTAGAGAGATACCTTATATGACCACTAATAAAAGCATTATAGTGAGTAAAGCCAATGCTATTTCCCTCTAAGGTCTCTCATGGCCCACAAACACACACAGAGTAAGATTGGAGATTGAAGAAGGACCAATTCATAGACCATTAACTTATCTGAGAACTCCAAGGAGGAAAACTCCTATTAGGATCCAATTAGACCACATAATGAGAATCCAAAAAAAGTGTGTGTGTGTGTGTGTGTGTGTGTGAGAGAGAGAGAGAGAGAGAGAGAGAGAGAGAGAGAGAGAGAGAGAGAGAGAGAGAGAGAGAGAGAGAGAGAGAGAGAGAGAGAGAGAGAGAGAGAGAGAGAGTTAATGTTATTTTACAGGGAAAGGAAGGAAATGTAAACTTTAATCCGTTCAGCTCAAACCGGTTACACCGACAAAGCATCAAATTAACACACACAGCAGTAGCAGTAACTATATCATCACCACATTCAGAAGGAAGTACTTACGGATATCTATCTTAAAGAAACCTCTAGAAAGAGGACATTTAAAACACGAGAATCCCAGAATACATTTCCTCCATGCCTTTTAGGCGTGTGAATGTACACTACCATTCAGAAGTTTGAGCCTGCAAAGGTCTGCAAATAGACCGCAAAAGTAAACAATAAGTTGCTTTAAGTCAACTCTCTTCAAAATAAACCTTTAGCAACCTTAACCAGGCCCTGATGGAATTTACATAACGCTTTACTCACAAAACATGCACATACATTAACATGCAGTCGTATAACTTTTTTTTTTGTTTGTTTGTTTAAACATCTGAGATAGTTTGAGCAATTTGGCCAGAGAAGATATGACGCTCTGATACTTTACATGATCGCTACACCACTAGTACAATCTTTAGATAGCCACACAAGCCTTCCTATGTTACTGTAATCCTTACACCATCGCCAGCCATCCAAACAGTTTCTATTTTATAGTAAACACAGTCTTTTATTTCCAGTTTCCTTCATGGTATTGCTATAAGTGCAAGCATAAACAATTAGCCTAGCACAATTAGCATGAACACATTCTGAGGAAGCTGCTTAATGATGTTACAAAGCAGACAAACAAGCAGACGTTGTCCACTTTACTGTTTCTAAATATAAAGTGGGTTGTTTTCAATCTATAAGGAAGACATGTCAGCAATTATTTTAATTTCAGCACATTTAGCGGAGATTGCAGGGTTTAAGGTTAATGCATGCTAGAGAAAAAGTGTGTGAAAAAGCAAATGACATTCATTAGCTTGTCAAACTTTGAAAACTTCCCATTTATTCCTCACATACAAAAGAGTGCAAGTTAGCAGCAGGGACACTTTATCTGAGTGATTTGATATGAAACATTTAACACACTAGCTCTTCACCACCCAATCAATACAACACAAGATCTCTCATCCTAAAACACTTTCAGAGGTATTTGATAAATGAGTTTGCCAGTGGCGTGCATTTCTCCTAACGATCCACTGCAAATGACGATGATTGTGAAGCCCCGTGTCTTGCATTAATGAGAGCATTTGAACTCTGGGATAGATAGGAAGCATCCTATGATAGCATCAATCATTCACATTCACAAGCATCCTAGCTATCGGCACTGTAACAAACCCTTACACGGAAGAACTCTGGCTGTACCATACACGACGACACCCTTTAAAAGTTTGGGGTCAGTAGGATCTTTAAAATAGGTCTATTATGCTCAGCAAGACTGTATTTTTTTAATCAAAATACAGTAAATGTTATGAAATATAACCATTTAAAATAACTGCAATTTATTCCGGTGATGCAAAGCTGAATTTTCAGCATCATTTCTCGTCTTCACTGTCACACAATCCTTCTGAAATCATTCATGATGATTTGCTGTTCAAGAAACATTATTATTATTATTAATATAATCAATGAAGAAAACAGTTGTGCTGCTTAATATTTTTGTGGAAACTGATATTTTTCATAAATTATTTGATAAATAGAAAGTTTTAAAAATATTTATTTGTTAACCAAATCTTTTGTAACATTATAAAGGTCTTTTGATCAATGTATTGCATCCTATATATATATATATATATATATATATATATATATATATAAATTAATTGCGATTAATTGCATCCAAAATAAAAGTCTGTGTTTACATAATATATTTGTGTGTGCTGTATATAATTATTTTGTATATATGAAGAGTTCAGATGCAAAAGCCTCTAAGTGCCATTTGAAATTTTCTTCTAGAATGATAATTTTTATCAAGCTTGTATATTTAAGTTCAGTGATTTCACTTAAATGGCAATGATAATTACCTATTAATTGTTATTTAAGTGAAATTACTGAACTTAAATATACAAGTTTGATAAAAATCATCATTAAAGAAGAACATTTTAAATGGCATTTAGAGGCTTTTGCATCTGAACTCTTCAAATGTACAAAAAAGCACTTGTTCTCGAATCAGCTAATCTCAGACTTGAATATGCATCTCAGAAATGAAGAAATCTTATCAGAGCTCAGTAATACATCATAGTGTTCTGGTTTATTAATGTCACTTGCATCAGAGGAGAAGAAGCAGAGATATCATAGGAAGTTGAAAGACCCATTCTAGTGATTTGCCTCATTAAATAAATCCCAGACAGAAATCTCACCCACACACCATTCCTGTCACACACACACACACACACACACACACACACAGAGAGAGAAAGAGAGTTATCAGGAACATGATGGATTACAGCACGTTTTAGAAATGAAGCCCGAACAGAGACACACACAGTGGCGTTCAGTATAACTGAGCTGTATAGCGTTGTGGGCAGAGAGACAGGACAGATGATCTGGTGTGTAAACACAGGATTATCACTCTAACATCGTCCTGTCTGCCGCTGGATCCATTTATTTCACTGTGATTATTTCCTACAAATTCAACCAACGCAGTCATAGGGTTTTTGAATGTCATTTTTAATGGCAGTGTTTTAGCAATTCACAAAAATATACTATACAGTATTATGCAAATAGAACATTAAACAAATTCCTGCTTGACCATGCGATTACAACAGTCTTTTACTGTACATCATTCGATGAATTGCTGCTAACCAGTTAACACCC